CAGGACGGTCCCGGCCTCTCGGCAGGAGTGAAGCAGGATAAACCGCTCCGGCTGACGGCAGATCCAACCGCCCCGCACCGACGGCGGGACCCAGCGAGAGCCGGGTCCCGGCCCCGAGCCAGCGCGGCTGCTCCCGCCGCGGCGCACGTGGCCGGGCCAAGCCTGTCGCCCCAATCCCCTCGGGATCCCGGCTGCCCCCCGGGCATCTCTCCCACACCAGGCTTCAGATCTCATCCCAACACGTCCCTCTGCTTCCCAGCAGTTGTTTTCCCAGTAGCTCCAGCGAGGGGGTGGGACGCAGTGGAGGACAGGGCACAGGGTGTGGTGACACTCGGCTCTTGGACATTTGGGACGCGGCTGGTGAAGGAGCACGTGTTGCCCTGCAGCCCTGGATCCAGGCGTGGGGAGAGCAGCGCAGGACGAAGCGCTCGGCCGAAACCCACCCGGGGGGCACCGGTGGGCCGGATCGAGCCCACGGATGTGGCGGCCGAGGCCTCGCAGGCACAAGCACTGGCTGGTACCGAGGGCATGAGCTCCCCGGAACCCCCGGTAACGCTGCGGCCAGGCCGGCTGCACTGCGGGCAGAATAAAGGTTAAACTGGAAAACGGCATCCCCGGGGCTGGCATCAGCCTCACCATCCCAGCGCCAGCCCCACCGCCCCGGCGTCGCTTTCTCTTCCCTCCCTTGAGCGGGTGGTCGCGTCCGTACTGGCCACCGATAGATAAATCCAGCCCCTGTGCTCAAGCAGGGGCCGTGGGTGCCGGCATTACAAGGGAGGGACCCCAAAATCTGTGAGAGCCGGGGAGCGGGGAGGGCTCATCCCGCCGGAGCCAGCAGCCTCAGATGCACTGGGAGGAGGAAAGTGCCCCAAGACCCAGACGCTGCTCGTGCCGTTCCCAAAGCTCCCGGACGGGTTGAGTGGCTCAGCCGCGGGTTTGGGATGTGTCGAAGCCCCCGGAGCACACCGGGGCGACGGGTACGACACCCCCGGTTTTCCCCCTGCTCGTCGCCGCCCCGGGGCACGAAGCGCACAGTTCAGCGCGCGGCCGGCTGCAGGGTGACGTGTCCCTTTGTCACCGCGTCCCCGGTGCCACCGGCCGGGCTCCGACCTCCTCCCTCGCGGTGCCCTGGGAGCAAACCCGCCCGCTTTGAGCCGTGTTGAACCCCCCGAGGAGCGAGGGCGGCCGGGAGACGGTGCCTGTTCCAGCCTGCTCAGCTTTCACACCCGAAACGGCGTTTCCAGAAATCCCTCGCAGCGCCCGGCGGCGCTCGATTATTTGAGCAGAGAATCTGGGTTAGGATCGGCCGATGTTTTGCCTACGTGGGGATGGGGAATTATTTCAGGAGGAAGGGGTGGATTCTCCCTAAATCGTTTCATCTCCCCCCTTCCTGCACTGTACGGCAGGCTCACAGGGACACCCCCACCCCCCCCTGCCGGAGCGTGTGAACACCCACCTGAGGACGGGGCCACAACTTTGGGGTCCTGCTCAGCGTCTGTGGGGACACGGGGAGACACCCCCACGGCTGCGCCGCTGCAAATCAGTCGGCATGTGGCTCTGCCCCAGGATCTGTCCCCTATCCCTCATTAAAACCTGCTTTTTCCCTTGACTTTTGATAAATTATTCATCTCCCCAGAGTTGTTTATTCCCCCTTTCTGAGCCAGAGAGGAGCTTCAGATGCTGCCAGAGGCTCCTGGCACATCTGAGGCTGCAGGAGCTGGGGGGTCCCGAGCTCCCCAGACCCCAACTCCCACTCCCTGGGGGCTGAGGGTTACAGGAAAATGGGAATGGGGAGCTGGGGGGGAGAAAAGCAGTTGGGGAGAGATGCGGGAGCTGCCCTCACCAGCTCCTGCCCAGCAGAGACCTCCCACCCAGCTGGGATGTGGCATCACCCCGCATCAAAAACCAGACAAAAAAAAAAAGAAAACAGCAAAAATATAAATTTGGCTCCACTACACACTGGAAATGAATCTTGTCAGGGCTCTGTGGTGAACTACATTCAGAAGTTGAGGATGTTCCAAATCCCTCTTGCCTGGGGGAACCCGGTCAGGATGATCGATCCCGTTTTCAATCGCTGCTGCTCGGCCACAGTCTCCTCCTGCCAGAGCTGGGAGTGGGTTTTTTTATCTCTGCATGAATTTGATCGTTTTCAGCAGGTCTTTTGGTTATTTTCCTTATTGGCTGAAATTTCTAATAGAGCTTTTAACTACAACAAATAGACCCACTTCTCCCAGTCCCTGCTATTTCACCGCTTGCCCTTGGCTGTGTTAACATCTATCGCCAGAACAATTAGATTTTGGAAGGATCTAAAGAGCCACTCGGGAGGCAGAAGTGTTTAGATACATTTCAATATTTCTTCCAACATCTGGACAGCTCGATGAGTCACTCTCAACACCAGCAACTTACCGTTTTTTTTTGCTGAGCCCTTTTTTTTTTTTTTTTCCCCTCTGGAAAAGCAACCTTTCCCTTTCATAGCCTTTTTTTTTTTTTTTTTTTTTAAATTTTTTTTTGCAAACCAGCAATTCCCAGGCACGCTCCAGCCCGGGCTGCTGGCCCTCTCAGCCTGCAATGCCGCCGAGCTGTAACGAACGTCGCCATCAAGCTGCCGCCAGACGAGTCGTTGGTGGGGCCAACTGCCGGCCCCGGGAACCCGCTGCCTCCCCAAAGCCGCCTCCGCGTCCCCTCAAACACCTCACCGGAAAAGGGGGGAAGAAAATTAATCATCCATAACAAGCGACCGCAATGGAGGGCTGCAAATTTGACCTCCCAGCCAGCCCCGCTCCCCAAATTTCCACCCTTGGTTGAAACCCAGGGGTGATACCAGGGGAATCGTGGCCCAGATTGGGGGGAGGGAAAGGTCCCCTGGTGCCTCAGCCCTGCTCGGCGCTTTCTGGACACGTGAGGTTGGTCCCCGTGTCCTCCACCTGCCCCTCTCCTCCTCCCCAAAGCCCCCCCGGCCCGCTCTCCACTGCAGATAAATACTCTGCAGTCACCAGCTCACGCGCTGCAGTTCGATGTCTATCCCCAGGCGTCCTTTTCTCTCTCCGTTCATCGTTTATTAATAAATCCTGGAAGCCCTGCCGAGCCCACAACCCTCATGCCAGGAGCCTCCCAGGGCATTTTCACCTGAAACCATTCCCCTTTCCGCCCCTTCCTTCACGCTGCTCTTGCATCTTTCTGGTGTTTCCCTCCGCTGCCACCCGGGGAGCTCCCCCTCACCTGCTTTTATAGCCGAAACGCTGGAATCCACCTGAGCGCCGGCATCGTTACGCAAGTTCTCCTCTGCTGAAATGAATCGCCACCAAACAGTTTTCATATTTGGAAAGCGCCAAACAAAATCCCCGAGCGTTATCAGCCTGTTACACGCAGGGAGAGCAGCTCCCCATCTCCAGCAGCCTCGGCGGATCCAGACGTGGATTTCGGGGCTCCCCGATGTCGCCCTCTCCCTGCCCCTGCCCGGGAGAAACGTGGCTCCATCCCCCGTGCCGGGATGACTGGAGCGTGAATCAGCCCACACGGGGGGAACCCATCTGGGCCTGGGGGAAGGGAGAAATCTCCCGGCAGCGCTGGGAAAGGTCAGTTCGGAGGGAGCTGGGGGAGAGGAGCTCGACGAGGAGCAGCAGAAATCCCCAAAAGGCCAAACCCCGGTGAGACGGCACCAACGAGACCATCGCTGTTCTCAGCCCGTGTGGAAGCGGGGCGAAACCCGGGGGGAAATGTTTCCAGGCACCGCGGGAGGGCAGGGAGCCCCCAGACCACAGCGCCCAGCTGCAGCCCCGCTCTTCCAGGGTCTGCGAGTCTTTTCCCACCCCCAGGAGGGGTCCAGGCCCCGGGGAGCTCAAAGCGGCAGCTCCCACTCTGCAGGCACAGGAAGGGTCCCAGGTGGGAGAGTTTGGGTTTTTGCTCATCACAGTCCAACCTGAAACCTTCAAATTTCAACCTTCAATATCCAAACACAGCCTGCTCAACGCGGCCGGTCTCCCCCACCCCGTTAATCATTCACGAGGTGTTTGGAGAAAGAGGAGGGCTCTCCTCAGCTGGAGCTGAAGGCAGAGGTGCGCGGGTGACGCGCTGCTGATCCACGGACAACGTGTGACAGCCCCACGCACCCCTCAGCGTGGAGCACCGGGTGTCTCTGCCTGCCGGGGCTCACACCGCGCTCAGGTCAGCGTTTCTCATCCCCGCGCGGGGATTTGGGAGGATCAGGAAACTCAGAGGCTCCACCTGCATCAAAGATGAAGCATTAAACCCACAATCATCGGTATTAAGCACGTGGATTAAAGCACAGAGCCGTCCCCTCTCTATTTCCAGGTACTCCCTTGCTTTAATGCCGTTACAAAACGGTGCTGGATGGGGAGGGAAGGGAGGACACCTGCCGTGCAGGCAGGTCCCGCTGCCAGGGCCCAGCACGGATGGACAAACCGCCCTGGCCACCAGCAGCAGGGCTCAACACATCCTACTGACACTCAGGATTTGAGAGCAAAGCCCCCCCCGGTGAGGAGATCTGCCTCCGACGCACTGAAAAGCCACAAGGGAAACCGAATCCACCCACTACTGCTCTGAATCTGGGTGGAAACAAGTTGCTTTAACCAGGTTTTTCACCTCATATGGCGCTACTGCCAGCTGGAGAGCGACTGGGAACTGCCCAGCACACACCAGTCCTGTGGGCTGGCTGCAAATTAAGAGAAAGTTTTGCAAGACAAGCTTGGATAGTTGGGGGTTTTTCACTCTTTCAGGTTATTCCCCTCATTTCCGGCAGCAACTGGTGACCGGGAGGCCAGCCCGCAGGTCAGCGGGAGGGACGCCGCTGCCAGCACAGCGGGAGAACTCGCGGCACCAGCTCCAGGTGCATTTGACCTCCTCAAAGGCACGTCCCCCAGCACCCCTGCAGAGGTTTGGGGTGTCTCAGAAGCTCCCCGGGGAAGCACTGCTGCAGGGAGAGCCCCTCGAGCCAGGCTTTATTCGGAAAAAAAAAAAAAAAAGACCAGACAGAGCCGAGCGCCATTCCAAAGGAGACGTTTACTAGCCCAAGCGATGCCTGATGCGGTGTCGCTCCCCTTCGGCTGGGGCAGGGCCCCCACCCCGCCCCTCCGGCGTGCCCCGGTTGTGCTGTGGGTTTTCCTCCCCGGGCGTGTGTGTGTGGAATGGCGGGGGGTGGGTTGGGTCAGGTTCCAGGTCCCCTGCGACTCAAGGCCGCGGCTCCTCTTTGCCCTTGTGGTGGTCGGGCGGCGTGTACTTCCCCTCCTTGATCATCTTGTCCCTCTGCTCGAGGATGGTTTTCAGCCGCACAGCCTGGCGAAGCGCACACGAGAGGGGCGGGGGGCAGACACATGACAGGGTCGCAGCGGTCAGGGAGGCACCCAGGGGGTCCCTAAGGCAGGTCCTGAGAGCCCCCCCCCACCCCTCCGCGAAGCCACATGCATGTGACACCCACACTAACCCCCTCCTCGGGCTCCTCACAAGGGCTTGAACCCCCTGCCAAAGATTTTGGGGCTGTCGGGCTGTGACAATACATTTTAGTAGTAATAATGACGGGGTTTTCAGCCCGCAGCTGGCCAGGCTGTATTTTCTCCCATCGTTGCTGCAGCTGCTGCTGGAGAGGAGGAGGGAGATGCAGGCAGGGAGGAAGAACAGAGCCCCCAGCCCCCAGCGGGGACGGGGCTGCTGCAGGGCCAGGTTCCCCCCCCCCCCCCCCCCACTCCCCCGCCAGCCCTGGGTGCGAACACGCTGCCTGCCCGGAGCCAGCCCCTCATAACCAGGGACACCCCGACACCCCCACCCCAAATCTTCTCCAGAGCTTGGCCTAGGCCCCCAGCACCCCCCCCACACCTCCCCCGCCAGCCTCAGGGGGTTCCCTAGTGCTCGATCCCCCAAATTCCCCCCCCCCCCCCGCCTCCCCCGTTGCCGGTAGCCCCCCTTACCAGTTTGGTGCGGTGCATGCACTCCATGAAATCCTCGTACTCGGGTTGACACTCGCGGCGGGCGCGGGTCTGGCCCAGGCCGTGCCCACACTCCACCCACTCGCGCTCGAATGCGTGACAGGTGCTGGCCCTCCCGTAGGGCTGCGGCATACTCTGCCGCAGCATCCACCGGTCCACATCGATGCCCAGCTGGCGCTGAAGCTCCCAGAACGGCATGGCTCCGCGCCTGTCGCGATACGGGCACTGGCGCGACACAAACCCGGCAACCGCTCGGCGTCCCCCCCTCCCTGTCCTTCACGGGCTTTTCACGACGCTGCCCGCCGTCGCGCTTTACGTCACGACCCCCTCGTCGCGCTTTACGGCTTCTCCGGCGGCGACAGCGAGACGAGCGGCACGAGCGGCGCTCCGCGCTGCAGCGCGCCCTGGCGGGGCGGAGGGCAGGCCGCCCGCCGCGCCCCAGTGCCCCCTGCCGGCCGCCACCGCAGCCTCCAAGGCTCCCCCAGATCTCCCAGTGCCCTCCCAGTGCCCCCACCCCAGTCCCCCCGCTGTGCCCCATTGCTCCCAGTGCACACCCCCCCCCTCCATGCTTCAGGGTCCTCTCAGTGCCCCCCCACAGTGCCCCATTGCTCCCAGTGCCCCCCCCCTCCCCCAGTTCCCCCAGTCCCTGGATTTCAGGGTCTCGCAGCGTTCTTTGAATTTCTGGCCTCCCGGTTCCCACCTTCCCCCCAACGCAGTGCTGTGCCTTTGGGACACCCCCCCCTCCCCATCCCAGGGGCAGGGGGGCTTCCTTGGGGCTGATGAGAGCTCAGGGGACCCCAGGCCCAGGTCTTCCCCCCAGTAAAACCCACACCCTGGAACCCACCCCTGTATTTCCATCCCCCCCCCCCCCCCCCAAAATCCCAGGGATCCCTCCCAATGCCTGAACAGTGTCCAAGGGTTGGGTGAGCAGCTCCACCTTCCCTAATGAGCAAAACCTCATTATGCAGCTGCTTATTACAGACGGACTCCCCACTACCTCCAGCACAGGGTGGGGAGGAAGAGCCGGGGGCTTCTTCACACGAAACCCCTGAGCCCCTCCGGACAACCATTTATTATCATAACTCTTAAAAAAAAAAAAAAAAAAAGAACCCAAACCTGCTCAGCGCCACCCGCCAAACCCCTTCCGTAGGCACACAACACCGCACGAGCAGGAGGAACGGGATTTATGGCTCACACTTCAAAGTCCTCGCCCCGAATCTCCCGTGAGAGCGGAGCGGGGCGATGCCGGCGGCAGCCCAGCCGCTGCGGGACCTTTTTTTCCCCCCTCCACCCCGTCCCCGGTACCGGTGCTGCTCAGATGATGCCGGCCGGAGCAAAGACCGGCGTGACGCACAACGTCTCAGCCATTTCCCAGCCGCAGGACAGCGGGGCGCAGAGGCTGTCACGGTCGTCTTCTGTTTGCGGTGGCTTTCCTTGGAAGAGCTGGACGGCTTTCCTGCGAACGGGAGACAACCGAGGGGGAGCAAGGGGGGGAGCACCCCCCAACTCCTGAAATCTTGCGGGATGGGCCCTGGGGAAGGGGAAGCTCAGAGGCTCTCACGTCCCCCCAGAGCAACAACCCCATCTGCACAGCCAGAGATGTGGCTTCCTTGAAAAACTGGCTCAAGCCTGTCAGTGTTTAAAAAAAATATGAGTTTTGCCTCTGAAGCCAGGTCTTTACCTCTGAGGGCAGGTTTTTCCCCTAAATTTCCAGGTTTTAGGACTTAGATTTGACCTTCTCATTTGGGCAAAGAGCCCAGGTGGATGGAAAACCAGCATCTCCCACGGGATTCAGCCCTGCCCCTCCTCGCCTTGCTTACGCAGGGCTGTTTCTTACCAGGCCACACGGGACATGGCGTAGGTGATCTGTGGCTGGGGACACCCCTCAAGCGGGGACGGGGTCGCGATGGTGTAGGCACCCATGTCCTTGAAAATCAGCCAGTCGCCCACCTGCAGCTCAGGCAGCTCCAGGCCGTCGGCAATGCGATCCTCCACGCGTCCCGGGGGGCCCCGCAGGGTGCTGCTCTGCGCAGGGTGGTCGGGGCAGGGTCTCTGCAGGGGAGAGATGGAGCAGCTGCAGCGGACGGGGATGTCCCAGCGCCACAGTGACCTCTCTCATCTCCACCCACCCTGTAGGTCCAACCCCAGGAGCCCACGGACTCTGGCTACAGTTCTCCTGCTGCACAGAATCACAGACTGGTTTGGGCTGGGAGGATCTTAAAGATCATCCAGTCCCACCCCCCACCACGGGCAGGGACACCTTCCCCCAGCCCAGGGTGCTCAAAGGTCCAGCCTGGCCTTGAACCCTTCCAGGGAGGGGGCAGCCACAGCTTCTCTGGGCACCCTGGGCCAGCGCCTCACCACCCGCACAGTAAAGAATTTCTCCTTTACATCATTCCTTACATCACCATAGCCTCTCCCCCATGGCCTCTGCTCTCCTCTGACACGGAGTGTGAGTCACGAGGCAGAGGAGAGCAGGGTGGGCTGAGGCAACACCACACGACGTGAGGGACCCCCTGGGCTCTCCTCGAGCCGGGCCAGACCCTCACCTTGTGCAGCTGAGGCCTGGGGCAGGGGGTGTCAAACAGGAGGCAGCTGAAAGCACCGTAGATGCTGTCACTGAGGTGATACACAAGGCTCTTCTTGCTGCCAGACTCTTCCTCTGGAGGGGAGCAGGGAGAGGGGTCAAGGGAGCTCGGGCACACAGGGGGGACCATCCCACAATCCCGCCTACCGTCGGAGCCAGGCTGCTCCACCAGAGCCTCGTCCCTGGCAGTGATGCTGGCAGCCAAGGTGAAGGCGGAGGTGACATAGTACCGCCCGGGTGTCGCAACGATCTCGACCCCGCAGCCATCTGGGAAATACAAGTCCAAGGCAGAGTTTATCACGTCAGCGATCTGGATGGGAAGAAGATGTTCCCCCACGGTTAGCTCAGCCCCTCTGCAGGGCGCCAGACCCAGGGAGACCCTCCAGCCTCACTCTCTGCCCGCTCAGTGCAATTCAAGTCGCACCGGGAGCTGTGTACCTCTTTGAACTGGGCTCTGGTGTCCTCGGTGCCAGGGAATCCCCCTCCGATGTCCAGGAGGTGCATCCGGTAGCCCAGCTCCGTGCCCATCTCGAAGGCCAGCTGCGCCGCAGCCACGGACTGAGCGAAGGCCCGGGGCTCCAGACCGCCGCTCCCGAGGTGAAAGCTGAGGGCACAGTCCCCACAGTCCCTGTTTCAGCAGGGTTTGCCTGTCCCCAGAGAGCAGCAAGGGGACACGGCACTGGGATTTTCACTCACGGGGGGCAGCTCTGTGCTTCCCACACACCATCTCAAGTCAGACTGCCTGGCTGGCCCTGCAGAGTCCCCCCAGACCCTCTCTGAGGGTCAAACCTGCCCCAAATTGGTCCCAACAAGAGTCAATCTCCCCAGGTCCTGCCTTCACCTCACTCCCAGCCAGAGCACCCGGTGGCTTGGGTGACCCCTGCATTGTTCCAGCACAGCAGAGCTCCCCGCAAGTCCCCTCCAACATGGGCTGAGCACCCCTACGGAAAAAGGACCATGTGCTGTACCTGATGCCAACAACCTCCACAGCCTGCTCCTTCGCTGTCTCTAGCAGGTGCCGGCAGGACTTGAGCGTGGTCCCAAACATCATGCTCGGATGGGGAGCGGGGCTGGAGTCAGCAGCAATGCCCAACAACATCCTGCAGAGCAAAGCCACGCTGTGCTGAGGGGTCTTCAGGCCCTCTGTCACCCCACAGCCACCTCCCCAGCTCCTACTCCAGCCCCGCGCTCCAACGATGCTGCCAGACACCCACCTGGCACGAGGGTGGCTCCTGGCCACCTTGCTCAGCTCCACCTCGTTGTCGAAGGTCATCAGCTGCACACCGTGGTTGGCGGCGTATTTGATGTGGGCAACCTGCTTGCAGGGGCTGCTGTAGAAGATCTTGTCAGCCGGGACTCCGATGCTTTGAACGCGTGAGATCTCTGCCTGCGGGGAAAAGGCATGCGTGTCCTCGGGATCGGCGCTGCCCATGCCTGGCCACGACCAGCCCTGGGCCTCGGCCAGCTTGCAGCACTGCAGAGGGCAAACCACCAGCACCACAGCCCGGGCTTTTCCAGGGACAACCCCTAAGAGCTCAAAGGGATCGCGGTGGACTTTGTCCTGGCAGGATCGGGTTGCAGCAAGATGCTTACAAGTGGCATGAGACCAGGAGGAGAGAAAACAAGTGGGTTTAGCAGGTGTGGGTTTGGTGCATGTGTCCCCTGTGAGCTGCAGTGAGGGTGACAGGGCAGTGCTGGGCTGAGCTCTCACAACTCTGCATTTTCTCCTCCTGGTAACATGTCCTGTTTAATTATGTACAAGTAAGTGGCTTAACTTTGGCTCCTGCCTGGAAGTCTGGCTATTGCAAAGGACGAGCAGGAGGGAGCAGGGAGCTTTAGGCTCAGTCTTAAAGCCATCAAGAGTTGGACGGCTGTGGCAGTGGCACCCCAGGGATGTGCCTTGCCACCAGCCAAGCCTGCCAGCCAGCACACCAGTTCCAGAGACAGGAATGTGGGTCAAATAGAACAAGCCTGAGTCACCAGACAGAGAGGACGTGGATTTCTGGGCTGTGTCAGGAGGGTTTTGACAGCAGGGGGAGACTTCTGCCCCTGTAAATGTCACCTAACAAGTGGAAACAGGAAAGGAGGGTGAGCTCTGCCACTCTCCCACAAATGCCCGTAGGATGCTCATCCCGAGCTGTCCTGCCATGACCCTACCTTGTTGGTACAAGCAAAGCCTGCGCCCAGCTCAGCCAGCAGCCGAATCACTCCTTCACTGCCATTGCACTTAACCGGGAAGTAGGGTTTCACACGGGGCAAGGCCTTCAGGAAACACAGGTGTTTCTTCACAATGTCGCCAAGGTCTGCCACGAAGAAGGCTTGCTGATCGCTCTAGGAGAGAGCTGGAGTGAGCAGCAGCCGCCTCCCCACGACCTCCTCTGCTGAGGGGGTGCTGGCTCCTGGGGAGCAGCGGGGCTGCTGGCCCTTACTGCCTGGCACAGCTCCATGAGGAGGTTCTCCAGGAGGTCTCTGGTGGTGAAGCCCTCCTCCACCATCATGAAGTTGGACTCATTCAGGTACCCATTCATGGTCAAGGTGTGGTAACACTAGTTTAAAGCCTCCTGGAGTAGAGTATAGCTTCTAAGTATGCAACACACTGGAAAAAAAAAGAAAGGGAATATTAGAGGCAGGGCTCCAGAAGCTCCACCAGTGCACACCACCCAACCAGCACCCCAGAGCGCTCCCTGTCCCCCTCATGGGCCCTACATGGCAGCACTGCTCTGGGTAGAGCTCTCTGCTGCTCTCCTCCAAACCAGTGCCTCAGCTGAGAGCCCTGCTGTGGATTCAGGCATCTTCTCCAGCGGGGAGGAGACACATTTCTCTGCAGCTGAGAGCTTTGTTTTGGCACACAGCAGCTCTGTCTTCTTCAGCAGCAGTTCAGGCACTAACACAGTTAACAAAGCCAACTTCACTGCAAAGTGGATGGCCTATATATGCCAGAACGTGCCCCTTCATGCTCTGGCATGTAGCTTGATCTGCTGTATGTTGCATAGGGTGAAGTTCCCTTGTGGTTTTCACATAGCTGAAGTCTCACAGACCCACCCACCTAGGCACACAAGGCCCATGGAAATGGAGGCATCTTTAAAAAGCTCAGCACAGGCCACTCGCTGACACCAGCCAACCTGAGGATGGTCTAGATCTGTGCTGTGGTTCCAGTTTCATGTCTCTCCCATGACACGGGGTGTGGAACAAGGGGACAAGTTAAGCTGCACAGTGTTTCCTGGCTTACACACTTAGCAGAGCTTTAGCTTTAAGGTCACACACTTAGCTTTAACAATCTCCTCCCCTGGATCCAGCCCATCCCATTACCCAGCGAGCTGACAACCTAGCACAAGCTCGCAGGAAACATTTCCACTCTAATAATCCAGGTCTAGCTCCAGGGCTCTTGGAGGAGCATGGTCTCTCTGATCTGAAGCAAGCAGGAGACAGTTTCATTTCTCAGAGCTGCACACGACCTCCTCCTCTGCAGAGACCTACTTACGACATTTCAACTGGTCACTAGGAGAAAGACCACGCTGACCCTGGAGCAGCAGGGTGTTGTAATGTATTGAGCAAGCACCACCAGTGAACTCCAGAGATGGGGAATGAGGAGAAAAAAATGAGTTTTGAAGCTCTTAGTGCTTTACACTGGGGAAAGGAGAGCAACTCTTCCAGCCTTACCCTTCATGCCCCAAAGACATCACTAACCAGCACCCAGCCCACCCTAGCTGGGCACAGATATGATGAGCAATTTAGTGGGTCGTTCCTGCCAGCCCTGGGCAATCGAGCCCCAGCCTCAGACAGCCCCTCCTTACCAAGGTCCAACGCCTCTCTCCCCGGTGACTAGGCGTGCAGCCAGGGGTCCTCCTGAGGAACGCCGAGCTCCCGCAGCACCCTGAGGTGTAGCTGTTGCTGGGGGTCCGAGGTCTCTGGGGAGAGGCAGTGCAAGAGGTTAGCAAGGGAGAGGGGCACTGACAGCAGGATTCCCTCCACCCACCATTCCTGAAACTCAGCATCTGCAGGCATCCCTCGCCAGCCCCCTCCTCACTGTGCCAGGCAAGCTGCCTTCCCCAGCAGCCCCGTGCAGTCCCCCCCACCCTGTTACCTTAGAAAGCATTTAAACAGATTATGCCCATGAGTCTCACAAGAGTATGAAGTGGCCCCAGCGGCGGCTGGTCGACCTGCCCCAGTTCCCTGCCTGCCCCGAGCCCTTGGACCTGCTACCCCTGCAGAGGGGGCAGGGGGGGGGGCTCTGCACCCCTTGGATCCCGGCACCCCCCTCCCTGCTCTGCCTCACAACCATGGCCATGGCAACCAAACCCAGCCACCCCATTGGCTGAGCTGCCTCCAAGCATCCTTCATCCCTTTTGGGGAATGCTCCCCCCCTCGCCCACCCCTTCCCAGCAGACCCCCCAGGTTCTCACCGAGTCCCCACTCTGCGCCAGCAGCTCATCCCCAGCCTGACAGCGCAGAGCGCTGCGAGCCTGCCTGCAGCTCGGCCCTGGTGCGAGGGCGCTGGTGGCTGCGCGTGCCTCGTGTGCGCAGGGACCCTCGGGGGGGAAAAGAGCCAAAAATACCTCTGAAACACTGCTGCCAGGGAAACGAGGCTTCCTGCAGATTAAAGGCTGAGCAGCGCCTGCTTGGCTGGGACACCAACTGGGGGAGGTAGTCGGGAAGATGTCAGGGACTGATTCTGCCCTTGTTGTGCTGCTGCCAGTCTTGGCAGGTTCCCTGGCAGCAGATCCAGCTCTGCCCTACATGCAGATGCCCTGTCTGGTCAATCAGTCCTGCATTTGTGCATTTGGACACGATTCCATTGTTCCATCCCACAAACACCACTGGTTGAGCAGGGGATATTTTTTTCATCTTCTTGTTCATTTGCAATTCCCTCTCTGGTGTCACTGAGGAGACAATGTTCTGTACTTGGAGGGGGAGCTGCCCCCACTGAGGAGGTGAGAGGGATGGACTTCTCCTGGGTTCCTGTATTCAACACTGTGGTCTTAGCTTTGCCGTGGACTCTCCTGACAACAAGGGCCAAGGAAGCTCTTGCCTCATGGGAGATCCTGGCCGGTTTTCCCGGTACTCCGGCCCAGTACGCAGCCCTGGACTGCACCGTGCAGGATGGGAGGAGCCGTGCCGAGAGGACAGCACTGGGAGGAGGGCAGAGAGGCACGAGTGAGGGGCTGCAAGCAGGGCGTGCTTCAGCCCGGGCAGTGCCGCCTAACCCCGCCCACGAGCCGAGTAACCCCGCCCCCTACGTACAAACCCCCGCCCTCTCAAAGAGAAACCCCGCCCCCTACCGGTGTAATCCCGCCCACTACCTGCAAAACCCCGCCCACTACACGTGAAACCCCAACCTCTACATGAAAAACTGTCCCTACATGTGAAACCCCGACTTCTACCTGTGAAACCCTGCCAGGAAGCTGTGAAACCCCGCCCCCTCACCTGTGAAACCCCGCCCCTACAAGCAAAACCCCGCCCTCTTACCTGCGAAACCCTGCCCTCTACGTGCAAAACCCCGCCCTCTTACCTGCGAAACCCCGCCCCTACAAGCAAAACCCCGCCCCCTCACCTGTGAAACCCCGCCCCTACAAGCAAACCCCCGCCCTCTTACCTGCGAAACCCTGCCCTCTACGTGCAAAACCCCGCCCGCGAAAGCCTGTCCGTTACATGCAAAATCCCGCCCCCTACCTGCGAAACCCCGCCCCTAGCCGCGAAGCCACGCCTTCTACCCGCGAATCCTCGCCTCTCTCCACGAGTCCCCGCCTTCTACCCGCGAAACCCCGCCCCCTAGCCTTCGGCCCCGCCCACGCGGCGCGCGGCGCCGGCGTCACGGCCCGTTGGGCGCGGGGCGGGGCGGGCGCGCAGTCGGCGTTGGCCATGGCTCCGAGCGCGCAGGCCGGCGGCGGCAGCGGCCGCGGGCAGGCCCCGGGCCCGGGGCTCCGGCAAGGCATCCGCGCCGTCCTGCTGGGGCCGCCCGGAGCCGGCAAGGGCACGCAGGTGAGGGGGTACGCGTGGGCCTTTCCCAGCAGGTGGTGCGGGGCATCCTGCGCTGCCTCCCGGTGAGCGGCCGGCGGGACTGGGCCGCCCGGTCCCAGCGCCTGAGTCTCGGCCTGGCGGGGCGCGGGCATCCAGCCTCCCGCCCCACGCCGAGAGATGGGGGGCGTGCGGCCTGCACCCCGCTCCGGAGGGCCCCAGGGCTCCCCTCCCCTGAGGGCTCAGGGATACCGCTGTCCCCAGGGACCCAGGCGCCGGGACCCTTCGTCCCATTCCCCCCCCCTCTCAAGGGTCGGCCGCGGGGCTCCGGTGCCCTGGCCCCGTTCCCGGAGCTCCCGGCTCTCCGGGCTGTATGCCAGGCCTTGCCACGTGCTGGCCAGTCACAGGTCATCCCACCACTACAAATACGGGGACCAGACCCCACCGGGGCGGGGGGCCCAAACCCCGGCTGCGCCTCAGCCCCCGAGGTTGTTGTTATGAAGCTCTCCCGGTGAGCTCACCTCGTGTCTGTGCTCTCCCACAGGCTCCGAAGCTGGCCGAGACCTACTGCGTCTGCCACCTGGCAACCGGGGACATGCTGCGGGCCATGGTGGCCTCCGGGTCCGAGCTGGGCAAGCGGCTCAAAGAGACGATGGATTCAGGGAAGCTGGTGGGTAGCGGAGAGATGCGCCGGGAGGGGAGATGGTCTGGCAGCACCTGGGATGAGAGCAGTGAAAATCCACCTCGTAATTAGAAGTCTCAGTGCTAAAACCTAATTAGTGGGGGAAGGCAGATTGCAGGGTGAAGGCAGGGGTTGGGGTGGGGGGTTTTCCTTCTCATTATCCAGCAGGAAAAACATGCTATAAAAATTATCCTTCCTCTTAAAAATTACTCCTTGCTTACCAGCAGCCTGTGTCCCTGGGTTGGCTCTTTCTGCCACAGTGCTTTTACGCTCACGGGGGTGCAGTCCGGCTGGCTGATTTTGTGGCTCCTGAACGCTGTTTGAGGTGAAGGTTTACCCTTGGAGCTGTTGGATGTTACAGCCATGAGCTCCAGCTTCTGCCTCTCTTCACATGGTGCCTGGGCTCCTGGGGAAGGCTTTGTTCAGAGGGTTCATCTGCATCCCAGCCCTTGTACAAATGCCATTTCCCTGTAACTGTAAGGTGAAAAGAGTGTTGCTGTGGTAGTTACATTGGGTGCCGTGTAATGCTGTGCAAGACAGACGCTTGATCCCCAGGAGACAAGGGTTAGGATCTCTGACACATTAATTTTCTGAGGGTCTAATTATCTTGCCAGAATGACTGAAATATCTTGGGGAAACTTGAGGGACAGCAAATTGCAGCGACTTGCTCCAAAGCTGAGCAGTGTGGGGCAGAACTTGGGCATCGCTGCTGGCTGTCACGGGCTTGTAACACCCCACGGAGAATCTGCAGGCCCCAGGTGGGAAGAGCGACATGGCTTATCTCCAGCTTTTGCTCAAAGACTGCATTGCAACACCAAGCCTGCAATATCCCAGCTGGTTATGAAAGATAGGGACGTTATCTGGCGAGGCTGGTGGTATCAGCCACGTGTGTGTGTGTGTGGCAGTCAGCACCGGGCTGCTCTGCAGGTATATCCTATCACCGTGCTCTGGCTCTGCGATAACTCCCCTGGGAGCACAGCAGGGTTCAGGATGGGGTTTTATGCTCGATTATGAAGCAGGACCCCTTTCTCTGAAAGGGGTAATCAGGAAAGCGCAGAAGTGACTTGTTGCTTCACCCAGTCTGCCCCATGCCCATACGCTTCCTGCTCTAGGACTCTTGTTTAAGTGTGCTGTCACAGTCCAGTCCCCAATCCTGCTGCATCCCAGCTGCGTGTGCTGGGGAAGAAAGTGCTGCTGAGGAGAGCTACTCTTGAATTAAAAGCTATTGGTGGGGCTGCAGCATCTGTTAGTATTTTCTAAATGCTGCAGTGTAGAAGGAGCTCTGATCCCAGTGGTAAGCTGAGATTGTGATACGGGAAAATCTATCCAGTGTGGCCAGAGCTTGTCAGCAACTATTGGGCATTTACCTTCACACAAGGTTTATGAGAGTCAATCAACTCGCCTGCTTTGCCCTTCCTGGCCAGGCCTGCCTGCTGAGGGAGGATGTGTAGGCAAAGGTACAAAGTAACAGGAAATAAAGATTATGTTGATATTTTATATTATGAATTGGTTTTAAAAGAAAAATAATCTGGGGAGTTTGTCTTCAAGCTGACAGTCTCCCTTGAAATACAGTAACCTTTGTAACAGTGAGGTTACAGCGCTGGGCCAAGTCCCTGCACAGGCTGGAGTGTCCCTGGTGTGAAATGTCTCATTAGCCACGTCTTGCTGCTGACACCCGTGGCAGGGAGCACTTCCCTGAAAGGGCAGGTCTGAACATGCAGCTTTTTCCCTGTTAACAGCAGTGGCCTGCGCTGTGGCTGCTGCCTCTGGGGCCAGGAATGGCTGTAAAAAGCCTCTGATGCAGTCTGGGTGCTGGCATGGGTACTGCAGCTCTGGGGGCAGCTGTGTGTGAAATCGGGGTGTCCCTCCTGACTGTGCACCCATCTCTTTTCAGGTGAGTGATGAGATGGTGGTGGAGCTGATTGAGAACAACCTCGATTCCCCTCCTTGCAAAAACGGCTTCCTCCTGGATGGCTTCCCACGCACGGTGAAGCAGGCTGAAATGGTACATGAGCTCCTGCTCGGGGACTGCTCTGGCATCTCCTCCCTCCCTGGACCCAGGTCCCTTGGCTGTGCCTCTGCCCCTCTGAGTTGGATGTTTTCTGTTGCAGCTGGATGAGCTCCTGGAGAAGAGGAGAGAGAAGTTGGACTCTGTCATTGAGTTCAGCATCCCCGACTCCTTGCTGATCCGGAGGATCACTGGACGGTAATTCTCTCCCAAACGCTCGGTGCACGGGGTAGGGATTCCTGGTCCATGGGAGAGTGTCCCAATTTCAGATCCCAGTTCATTCTCACAATGCTTTAGGGCTGGCTGCAGTGCTGGTCTGTATTAGTTTTCTGGTCTGTACTAGTTTTCTGCTCTGGAGCCTTCCTGCCCTGATCCCGTGCCTGGATCAGCCTTGAACAGAGCCCCTTCGTTGCCCTATAAATAGGGGTTGCTGACATGAATCAGTGTCCTTGGTGACCCAGCTCAGCCTTTAAACGCAGTGTCTGACAGCTAATGTCTTTGTGCCCTTGCTTCTCTGGAGCTATTACTGCTCCCTTATGCAGAACACTACATACATGTTTGGGCACTGCTGAACATCCTGTCTGGGTTCAGTTGTGGCCGTGGAGGCACAGACATTTCTCACTGTTTGCTCTTGCACTGTGTTACCCTCACACCTCCAGGAGCCAGCCCCCTTCCCCAGTAAAGCATAAAGTAAAAAGCCCTTCTCCATCTCCTAGTGCAGCTGCTTTTTTCAAACGCCTGAAGAGGCCCTTGGTACAGAAATAGCTAGAAGAGATTTTTGAGAGAGGCTGATCGGGTTGCTATTGCAGATGTTTCTGTGCTGATGAGTGGCACGTTCAGGAGACCACGTCCTGGCACTGAGCTACTTTGCTGACACTTGCTTTCTGTCTTAGGCTGATTCACCCAGCGAGTGGCCGCTCTTATCACGAGGAGTTCAGACCCCCGAAAGAGCACATGAAGGACGATGTATGTGAGCTCCCAAGGCCACAGCTTACGTTGCTTTGGGTTTAGCTAATGCTTTGCAGCATCCCTGGAAAAACTTAATTTCTTTCCTTCTCTCATATCTGCTGTCCTGGCTTTCTGGGGAGCTTGGGGAACTACCTGGGCAGCCTGAACTGACGGCACTGCGGGGAGCGAGGCCTGGAGGGATGAGTGAAGGGCTTGGCCGTTCTGCAGAGCAGGCCCGGGCTCTGCCAGCCTCAGAACTTGTTGGACTCTGTCCATAGCTGAAGTTGCGGTGGGTTGTGACTGGTTTTCCTCCCTGGGGAGCAACTGTAGCTGGTGTCTGCTCTTGAGGCTCCTTTTAGCAAGCAGAGTGGTGAGTGGGGGAAAGACCATGATGGTGAATCCTTCTCTCTTCAGTGACTGCTCTGGGACTTGGTTCGGCTGCCCTGGGTTCACCCCGCTCTCCTCTGCGGACCTGGGGATCGCCTCTGCAGCTCCGCATTGTAGCCTGTTTGGAGGAGGGGAGCAGGGGTTGTCGTAGCTGCGGAGAGAAGGGGGGAGCGTGCCAGGCTGCAGCTAGCTGGAGACTGTCCCCTTGCTTCTCCCAGGTCACTGGAGAGCCCCTGATCCGCCGTTCGGATGATAATGAAACAGCCCTGAAAACCCGCCTGAAGGCCTATCACACGCAGACCTCTCCCCTGGTCTCCTACTACAGCAAGCGGGGGATCCATACAGCGGTGGATGCCTCCCAGTCTCCCGATGTGGTGTTTGCTAGCATCCTGGCAGCCTTCTCCAGAGCGACATGTAAAGACCTGGTTATGTTCATTTAGGGCTCTGTCCCAGGACGGAGCTCTCCTTTTTCTCTCTCTCTGTCTCTCCATCTCTGTCTCTCTGGGAACAGGGAGGGTGAAGAGCTAAGCAGAGTAGAGGAAGAGGGGACAAGATGATGCAGCCCAAGGCAGGGCTGTGCTAATTCTCTATTAAACAAGCTGTTAACGGTCTCTATCTCAGTATATGTGAACATCAGTCTGTCTGCAGATGCTGGAGATTTGGCCCCTAGAGGTCGCAGCGAGCCCAAGCACCAGCCGCCTGCTGCCAGAAATGGGGTTTGCACCCCTTTGGGTCAAAAGTTTGGTTGTTTTTTTGTTTTGTTTTGTTTTTTTGTTTCAATCAAAAGCTGTAGCTCCCTGGAAGGAGCTGTACTTTCAGCTCCTCCTGGCTGCTCCACAGGGGACTAGCAGAAGGGTAGAGATCAGGACTGAGCAGTGGGGGGAAGGATGTTTGCAGGGTGCTGGATAGACGGCGTTGGCTGTAGGAGATGAAAGACAGGGTTGCCTGTTGGAAGCATGTGATGGTCTGTGTGTGTGTGGGCCACGGGAGGGACAGCTTGGCTGTGGACATTGAGTGCAGCCTGCTGCTGCTTGGGGCTGGGTGAGAATTTGTTCTTGTTGCATGTGTTTTATTCTCTGTGGGATGGCAGGTTACCTGAGAGCACAGCCTGGCTTCCTCCCATTCTGATGGGGCTTGTGAGGCAGAAAGAGCAGGGGTGAGAGCTGAGGGGGTTTCAGCCTCTCCTCATTTGTGGGCCCTAATATAGCAAATTAGTGAGATGCTTTTTGCCTTTTTTTTTTTTTTTTTTTTTTAATAACATGAAGTCTCTGGTCAGAGTCTGACAGTCACGGTATGTGGCAAGTTGGGATCTCCTGAGGACAAGAAAAGGATTTGGGTTTTATCTCTTCGCTCTTGTCTTGGCTTTGTCCAAGGAGATGAAGGTGTATTGAGTCTCTCCTGATCCCAAAGTCTAAATAAAGCCTTACTGCAAACCAAATTATTTTTCAAGGCCTGAGAGACAGCCTTAATAACCACTGGCTTCATGTGCCCTTGAGCCAATGACCTTTATTACGAGATCACGGAAATGTACTTGTTTCTTGAGCAAATCAAACAGCTCTGTCAGGCTGTCCATTCGAGGCCACCCTGTGTGGTGTGGTTAGTGCCTCGGCTTCTCAGGGCTGCTACGCTGCTATATGGTGACCCTGCAAAGCTGGTGATGACCTTTGCCCATGTGGGATTCCAGCCCATCCTAGAGGACCCCGCTGTAAATGCAGATTGACTCAGATGAAACTTTGTCCTTTGGCCTTCCATGTATGTTTACTGATTTAGTGTTATTGAGTACCCTCCTGTTCTGAGGAGATGGCCTGTCGTCTTCCTGTGCACTGAGCTGCAGTGGGCTGTGTGTTCAGAGCGGATGTCTAATCCTCAGGAATCCCTTGATCTTTTTTCTTGATAATTCCTCTTTCCTCTGAAAAATCATTCTCTGTCCTTGTACATCCTTTCCAGGGAAACAACCTCTTTCCTTCCAGCAAACTGGAAAGAACACTGGGAACTGAAAGCAGTTGACTTGTTGCTCTTGTAAAGCATGTGATTGCGATTGCTGGGAGAGAGGGTTTGAAAGTAAACAGTGCTGGTTTTGTCAGCAGCCTGCAGTCCCCTGAGATCCCCCAGATGGCCGTAGCCTTGTTGATTGTCACTGGTTTTCCTGTGAAAGGGCAGCCCCAGCACGTGGCGTCAGCGTGCTGGGAGGTCGGGATAGCCTTTAGCATAGGACTCCTGTCCTCCAGGGTAGTGGAGAGGAAAGTGTGTGTGTGTTAGAGCTGCCCTGGCATCTCGGTGACTGTAAAGAAATTCTGAGCGGAAGCAGCTTTTATCTTGAGAGTGTCAGAGAGCTGCAGCCCCCTACACGCTGCTGTAATGCCAGGAAGGATTCCTGGATTTGGTCATGGTTTTACTCCACAGCAAGAACAACGTGTCCTTCCACTCTCTGTTCCTTTTTCCCCTTGTGCTCACTTTGCATCCAGCTCACCAGCCTTTTTCTGCCATAAACCATGATTAATTTTGTTTGGTTTTTTGTTTTTTTTTTTTTTTTTCCCCTAAATCTATTTTTTTTCTCTTTGTTCCCATTTATTCCAGCTGAGTGACTCCGTGAACCAGATGAAACACCACCAAATGCTGCACACTCTGCTACATCACCCATTGCAGCCCTCCCCTGGGTGCAGGGGAGGCAGGGAGGGCAGCTGGGAGGGGGGTTATGATTGATGGGAGGGGGGAAAAGGAGGTGGTAGACAAAGGGCTTGGGGACTGATTTGGTTGGGTTTTGTTTGGATTTCTTGTTCAGCAGAATCATTGTGAAGAGGAGATGGCCTTCTTAGAAATCACTGTTTGGGGAGGCAAAACAATTGTATGGAGTGAAGCACCTCTGCCAGCGATCAGATGCAGGTCCTTGACCTGTTAGGAGGGTAGGGCTAGATGCTGTTCCAGGGTTTTCCAGGACTTTTAGGGCTTGTCTCGTGGGCTTTTAGTACTCTGAGGCCACTGCAGGGTTTGCTGTGTTATTTCTAAAGTTGCTTCCTGTCTGCAAGGACCAAAATGAACAAATGACTCATCATTTCTGAAATGGAAAGGAAAAAAAGATGCCATGGTCTTTTCCTGGAAGTTTTGTTTTTCTTGTTCTGCTGCATTCCTAACCCCAGCATAGAGACTTCTCAAGGTTTCTCTGCTGCTGAACAGAGGGGCTGCAGCTCTAGTCCAAGCCTGCCTTACTTGGCAATGGGGTGGCTTTTCTGTGATCCTGACCAAGCTGGAATTCACACAATGCTGAAGAAATGCAAAAGAGACTTTCTTAATTGACTGCAAAAATAACCCTTAATTGGGTTTTTTTGCATTTCTTTTTAGATCAAATGGTGCCTTGTCTAACCTCTGAATCAATAATAAAATAACCCCTTTACATTTTGTATCTGTTGCTGTGTCCTCTTTGACCTGCAGCCAGCGTGGAAGATGAGGCAGATGACAGCATAGCCAACTAACAATTGAGCTGGGTGGATCCTCAGGCCTGATCCTATCTGTGGGATGTTGTTCTGTGCAGCTGAAAATGTGGCTTGTAATTCCTTTTATCTCTTTTCCTTGCTGAGTGTGTTCCAATGCTATGTATCACCATAGCAATGGTGTCTTTTGCTGGTTTTCTCTCTCCTGTTTCTTCATGCATGACACTGAAAGCACTGAGCCCCTGTGTATTCTGACCCTTTCTGGCCAGAGCTTCTGTCAGGTATTTTTAATTGATGTAACGCCTAGCCTTCTTCCTCCAGCCTTCACATTGCCAGTGCATGGAGGAGCTGATGCTATTTCTTTCTTTTCTGCAGCAACTGGAAGCCACATACTGTGTCTTCTGCTTCTGCTCATTTGCTTTTTGCCTTTCATACCTTGTTGCATCCCTCCTTCCACTGATGCCTCGCTAAATATACAGCACAAAATCTGCTCTAATGCAGGGAACAAGAGCGTTTCCTGGCCTCCCTTTATCCTGCCTCCACAGGGACCCTGACTGGTGCTCTGGGGTATCTCAGAGGAAGGCTGTTCTTGACGTGCTGATGGAGGGTCAGACCACCTTTTCAGCCCCACTTGTTTTCAGGGATTTGGTTTAGGCACTGTGGGCAGGCACCAGAAAGGGTCAGGCTGCAGACGCCCATTTCCTACAGAAATTACTGGTTTCTTCAGCATAATTGGGCACTCTCACTCCTCCGCCATTCAGTCTCTCTGTCCTCTGGTGTTTTTATTACCTCTCTGTACCTCCGATTAGCATTCCCTCTTTTGAAGGCAAGCTTGTGCCTCTCTGGCGTTTGTGGTGTTCTTCCCTCGTTTCCTTTGATGATGGATGTTAAACTTGCTCTTCCTGGTTGTTTGGAATTGTGTCTTCTACTACTTGCCTGCTGTTGTCTTAAAAGCCTGTTCTGCCTGCTCCTCCTGGCTTTCTAGTATGTGGGATGGAGAAGTTTGGGCTCCTCTGAGCTGGGCTTCTTCCATTTGATCCTTACCTAAGTGTGGAGCGTGAAATTAATTGTCGGGGTGCTGTGGGAAAGGCTGCTGTGGGGAGGCTGTTTAGCTCAAGCCTACGTCCTCTGAAGTTGGATCTGTTCTGTGACCTGTCTCTGTCATGTTGACCTTGAATGTTTTCCACAGCACGTGATGCTCTGCAGGTGCTGTAAATTCCTTCTGTTCAACCATTTAATTCCGCAAGCTGCTTATCAGGCACTCTTTTGAAAACTGTGTTCATATTTCACACGCGCAATTATTCAGCAACTATAAAAGGGGAAAATTCCTATTTATAGGACAAGGACCAGCATCAAATAGGACACTGAATTCTCACTGATAGAGGAAGTGACCTGTTCTCTAATGCAGCAATATTTCTGCTGAAAATAAAGCATCTTGGATGGGGGGGAGGGATGAAAAGCCCTGGGCCATCTCTTTCCATTAAAAATGTGCTGCAGTCCTAAAAATACAGTATCTGCCCTTCTCTCTTCCTGATGAAACCATCTGCGAAAGAGAGATTGCAGAAAAACCTTTCACTGTGGATTTGCGGTTAGTAATGAGTCCACTGACTCCTGATGGTCTGGTTTGGAGCTGGTCTTAAGTTTCTGATCGATACCTGATCCCTGACCTTGACCTGGGAGTGAGAAGTCACTACAGAGTGCCTGCTGTGGGCAAGCAGCACAAATCCCTTGTCTGTAGAGAGTTTGTACAATCACGGTACACATGTGCGTAGCTCTGAAACAGAAAGACTGCGTTGGGCTGGGGAACAAAGAACTGGCTGAGAGCGATGAACAGAGAGGGTAGAAAGGGGGGAAGAGCGTGGGCACAGCCCTGGGGACGTGGGTGGTAACTGCTGTGGAGAAGGTGAGTGCCTGTTTTGTCTGAGCTTGCTTCCCACGATTGCCTCTGTTCTCCCTTCCCTCCTAGGTATGTTGAGCCACGGCTTCCCCCAAAGCCATACTGGTATCGCTGGCCTTTGCCTGCTGCTGTTCCCAGTTGTCACCCTGTCCTTCCTGTGGTCTCCAGGCTCTTTAGGAAGAGCTGCAGTGGGTGATACCAACCGAGGCCCTGGGAGGTGGAGGACCAGAGGATGGGATTCCCCCTCCTGTCGCTGTGGCAACCGTTGGGAAGGGAAGCAGCAGTGGGGTGTGATGGGCGGCTGCGTGGCTGTGGAGGGGTGTGATGGGGAGGCTGCGGAGGCAGGGCTGCGCTGACATCATGCCGGGGAGGTGGCGCAGAGGGAAGGGGAGTGGGAAAAGGAGAGCCAGGGAGACTGCGGAGGGAAGAGAGCTGCATCGGGAGTGGGCTCCAGGGAAAGGTAAGACGCTTGGGGGGCAGCGGGTCAGGGTGGGATCGGAGCCTGCCTCGGCATCTTTCTGGCTGATGTGGGAAGGCTCTTGGGCAGCAGCAATATTATACAATACCCTAATAGCCTGGCAGAGCAGGACTTGGTTCCTGGACAGTGAGACCGGGTCAGAGCCTCGCTGGCTGGTGCAGAAACTGCAAACACGTTCCCCCAGGATACCAGTGTGTGTCACTGACACTGTGCTGCTGGCGAGAGCCAGGGGTGTACCTGCACCTCCAGGATGGGCTAAAGGGACTGGGGAGCAGCCCTGGTCCCTCTCTGGAGAAGGGGACCAGAGTTCTTTCTTGGGATTAGAGCACAAATCATTGATGAAATGAATCAGAAGTTGGGAAATGTGGTCCCCCTGAGCTGTATCTAGCTAATAGGAGGCTGTAAGCAGAGCTGATGTGCTGGGACCGAGCCCAGCAGCATGTGTTCTGGGTGGGAATCCTAAAATACACATCTCTAGCAGCCTCAGCACTTATCCTGTCTGTGCAGGAAGCAATAGTTCTGGGGAGGGCAGCCAGGTGCACAATTATTGCTGGGAGCTCCCTGGATGTGGATCCTGGGGATCTGCAGACCTGGAAGGCAAAATACCAAAGTCCTTGAAACTGCTCTGGATGTCGTATTGCTTTTTAGCGTAACGGTTGCATAACGGGATCTGATCTGCTAGCAGAGAGAACGAGGGGTGACGGTCACCTCTGTGCCCTGCAGCATGCCAGCAGTACCTATGTGCTGTGCTGGCCCATGGCCTTGGGGTGAATTTCATCTCTCTTCCTAAGCCAAAAGCTGGTGGGTTTACAGCTCCGATTCCACAGCAGGGGGGTGTATGGACTCTACACCTACATGCAGGTGGGGCAGCAGTGTCCTGCAGTACATTAGCTAACTAGAAAGTGAGTTCATTAGCACCCACTCAATCTGTACTAAGCTGACTTTTGCCAGTCAGCATCCTCAGTGTGTATCGGACTGAGGAAAGTTCATCTGGGCTCAGAAGCCCGTTGCTGGTAACCTCTGACAGTGTCAGAAACCAGTACTGGGGTGGGGATGGAAGAGGCGTAAAGCAAAACTCAGTAGGGATGAGGAAACCTAGTTTGAAATCCAAGAACAGGGAAGAGGCCAATGCTTTTGTCACAACCATTTTGCTGAAATAACTTCCACGCATATCCCATGTGTCACATGTTACTTAAAAGGCTGGGGACAGCAGTGTGGCCATCGAGAAATGCAGCCGGGAATGCTTCAAGTATTGCAGAACTGCAATAAAGAGCATAAATATTCTTTAATTAGGAAAGGCTATTGCCGTGAGGTACACCATCTTCCCCCATGAAGGCACAGATGCTGGGCCTATAGGGAGCATTTGGGAGTGTCCAGGGGTGGCTGTACTGCTGCTTATTTTATGGTAACTCTGCAAACAGAAAGAGCTCGTGCTGCTGTGTGGGACTTCTGGGAGAGCATTGGGTTGGAGACCCCACGCTTGGAAGTTTTTAGGAGCAGGCTGTGGCGTTGTCACCTAGCTGGCTGTGTGGCCATCTGCCTTTCATGCCTCTGATGTGGGCGGGCAGGGGAGGAGAGTTCCTGCTAGAGGCCAGCCCTCAGTGCTGTGCAGGGCAGCTGTGGTGGGAGGAAGGTGGCTCTGGATGGGCCCAGGTGCTCCCTGGTGAGATCTTGCTGGGCACAGCCTGAACCAGCCTCCCAGGGGTGGTTTGGGATGCATGCAGTAAGGAGTTAACACCGCTTTTCTGCAGTTTCAGTCCCTGAGGTTGCAGTTCTGGATGGCCAGCCACTATAGCAACTAAGACTGCTTCTAAGTCATGTTTCAACTTGATTTTTTCAAGGTTATTCAAAATTTAGTCGGGGAATGGCACCAGGACCTCCTACAACCTGAAAGGCCAAGTCAACCCTCCTAGTCTTTGACCTTCTCCACTGCTCAGCTGGCTCTCCTTGCTGTTCCCCCTATACTTGCCTACACTGCAAAAGAGATGATCATGTGAATATTACACAGCCTGGCATCTGCACATCAGCTGAAGCAGCTGAGTTCTCTGACATGCTCCTAGTGCCTTTCATGCATTCCTGTTCCACAGCTGTACTGTATTACCAGTGTGTTTGGTTGCTACCGTAGCCCATCACCGCTAGATATACAGTAACATAGAAATACAATAAATGGGAACTTGTGCTCTGCTGGGTGTTGGTACCCAGCCTGCAACACAAGCGCTCCTGGGAAAAGAGGACTGTGGACCTGCAACCCTCTGCAGAGGCCTCAGGCACCAGGAGGAGCTGCCCTTGTGCCAGTGTCCAGAGAGGGCCCTGCAAGCGGAGCCAGGTCCTGTGAGACGTTTTAATCCTTTCTGTTCCACAGTCTATCATGGCCATGACTCCACTGCAGTGACTCTCTTCCTGTTCCTTGTGCAGGGGCTCTCACAGGCATCTACCTTATGTTTGTTTTCCCTCCTTATCTGGTACCATTGAGAGCAGGCAGGGCAGCAGCTGAGTCAAGGGCAGTGGGTTGGTGTGTTCCCTCCACTGCCTGGGCCACTCTGGAGTCCCTTTTCCTCTCCCTTATCCCAGGCTGACATTTCCTTAGCCGTTTGTTTAATAGCTGAGTTTACTTGAGTAATCAGTTGTTCTCTGGTTCTCAAGTGAAATGTTATTCCTTTGGCCAAATCAGTATTTCTATTCTTGCTATGAACTTGGTCTTAATTCTCAGCTCTGGGGGGATCTAGGTGCCTTCCTGACCTATCTGTACAGAACCGGGCTCCTTTTCTCTCCTCCTGCCAGAGTCACTTTTTCTCTCTGAGGTTAAGCAAGAAAGGCTGGAGGCACATGGAGAAATCACTGGAGCCATCTGACTGTCTTCAGCCTTAGTTTCTCTCTGGGCTCTGCCCCAACAGCTCATTCTCTGTGCTTGCTTTTGTAAGAAGGGCAGTGAGGACAGAGTCAATAGGAACCTCATGGCCAAGGGCATTGCTGATACAACTCCCAGTCCATGGGCTCCAAGACAGCTTGGCTCAGCTGCTGCCAGCAGAAGAAAAATTGTTGCCATCACACAGCAGGACTTATATTCCAGAGAACCAGGGCTGGAAGATAAGGTGCCCAGAGTAAGGCTCCATGGCTGCAAATAAATTTTCCTTGCAAACAGGCAAAGGCACCAACTCCCCGGAGCTGGATTTCCACTGGTTCCATCCCAGCAGCCAAAGGCTGGGTTGTGGCTCAGGGCTCCAGTCTTCTCTGACTGAAGGAGGCCACAGGGTTTGTTCTGCTGCTGGGGCAGTTGAAACACCCTCACTGTGCATTGTTAGTGTCTCTGCACATCTCTGTTATTTCCAAACCAGAAAAGGTCACGGAGACCCAAGAGAAACCCACATCCCTCCTTCACTGGAACTCCTCTTTCTGCCTTGCACATGCTTTTGTTGCCATCTCTTGCTTGCCAAATGCAGAAACAAACACTGGGGTTTGGCAGGGCTCAAAGCCTTGGCTTGTCAGATGGGAAAGAGGCATTCTTGGTCCTCAGCCCAGGGACAGGGCTCTGCTCCATGTCCACTGCCAGGTTTTCCAGCTGCAATTTTGGGGTTCATCCCATGCTGAGAGCAATGTTCTTACGTGTCTGGGGATGAGCAGCACCCCTGGGTGCTGGGCTGTGAATCCTGCAGGAGATCCATGGAAAGTGGGTGGGAATAGTTGGAGCAGGACCCAGAGCTACGTGAACCACAGCATGTTGCTGTGGCTGAGCTGCACGTACAGTGGGAAGCGCAGGAGTCAGCACTGCCTTGAGAGGCTTTTCCCTAAATATGCATGATGGCAGGGGGGCAAGGAAAGGCAGAGGAGGACATGTAAAGTCAGGCTGTCTCTGCTTTGTTTAAGTAGGGTTGTTATTGCCAACAGTTGCCCTCTAAGAGACTGCAGGGCTTATGCTGGGGAGGGATCCTGTATCTCCAAGTCAGCTGGGAAGCACCTACTGCTGCTCCAGTAGAAGGCACTGGACTTTTCCTGGTACTCAGCAGAACTGGGATGGCAGCCTGGATCGGAGAGGGCAGGGCTGGACAGATGAAAGACAGTCATAGCTGCTGGCTCCCTGCTAGAAGGATGCTATGGAGCAACAGCAGGGCCTGACTTCAGAGAAACATTTGAGGTCTCAGTGTATGCTGATCACCCCAGAAACCTCCTACCCAATCTTCTGCTGTGCACAGTCCAGCCTCCTCAGACAGCACAGGGGCTAGTTTGCTTAAACACCAGCTAAGACAACCCACAGATGACATCAGCCCTAGAGAAGGAAGAGGGTTTCTCATGGTGGTGAAGAGGTGAGGGAGAGGAGGGAGGGAGAAGAGGAATTTCCTGGCTGTGGTAAAGGTGGTCCCTGCTTGAAGAGAAGTTAGAGAGAATGGGCTTGTGGTCATGGCATCAGGCTGGGGGAAGGAAGGGATGGGTCAGCAGCAAACCCCAGCAGAAAAAACCCTGTTTACCCTTCCATGCTGGCCTAGGAATAAAGGACGCACCAAACTCCAGTTCCCCTCTCCCCTTGCCCACCTTGTTCTGCTGCAGAGAGAAGAGAGCACTGAGGGGAGCAGCCTTGGACTAAACCAGGCTGTGGGCAGGGGCTTGGCAGCCAAGGATCAGGCTGGGGAAAGATCTCATCTGAGACAAGGGAACCCTGATCGAGCTGATTTTCAAAGTGAGACACTCATACATTTCCCACCTGGTTAGTGCTGGCTCAGCCCTCTGGAAAATGACACACGTTTTCCTTGCTGCGGGGCCAGAGGGCTGTGCTGGGAGCACTCTGCTGCTCTCCCGGCCTGGCTGCAGATGGGAGGTGCTGCTGGCAGGGTCCAGAATCACTCTTCTTTCCCCTTTTGACAGCTGTTGCTGGTTATGAAAATGGGAATGTTCCCCAGCCAGTTCTCGGCAGGAACTGCCCTTTCCAGGGCTGACCGCATGGGCTGTTCCTTCCTCTTCCCACCTCCTGACAGTAGTCACGGATTTGG